AACGTTAACCGGTTAGAGTTAGAGGTTTCCTGTCTTGATGTGTGGACACATCAAGACTGCATATAGAAAGATCCTATTGGTAGAGTGTGCCACACCCCTACCAATCAGCGATGCGGATCACTGTCAGCCACTCGCTTAGATATTTGAATATCAGTTTAGAAAGGAAACATCACTTTAGGAAGGAAAGACACTTTAAACAAAAATAACAGTTTTCAATTTACGCTATCTAGTTCCTATCTAGTCTTACTGTATACGCGTATCGTGTATACACAATACTATCTAGGAAAACCTACGCTTCCTCCTACACGTGCGCACACGTGTAAGCTAGATAGTGAGCACTAGACCCACTACAGTAGCCAACCTATTTCACCTCAAATTCTCGCAGCAGTCGGGCAGTGCTGGCTGAAATTGGTGTTCTGTCGTCAAGAATCGCTTCAACCTCGAATTCACCGTCAACTGCAGCTGCTTCCCAGCTGTCTTCAGGCAACAGCTCTTCGTCGAAGTTAAGTCTCGCATCCTCTGTGATATCTCAAGCTAGTCGCGTCTTCAGCCGATCGCAAAACTCATTTACAGCTTTCAGTCGAGAGACGTGCACAACAGGGTAGAACCGATACCCACTTTTATCTGGTAACTCGAGCTCGTACGCGAATTCCTCGACCTTCCGCTTCACTCTGAAGGGACCACGCCATCGGTGAGCCAGCTTCTTAACTAGTCCTGGCTTCACTCGCTCCATATACAGCCAAACTCGGCTTCCAGGTCGAAATAGAGACTTCGGTTCGTCGTCGGACGAGTCGTCGTTTCACTCTTTGGTATTGCGGCTTGCTCTTTACGGCTGAGTTTCTCGTTATGAATTCTAGCGTGTCGAACCTTTTCTGCAGCTTGGTAATTATTCGCCATCTCGAGGGCAATCTGCTGCTGGCGGTTAATCTCTCGTCGCCAGGCTAGTGCCTCAGTATGCTTACCACCACCTCGCCTCGAGAGGTTGTCATTGCTCGTAGCGTCGAATGAACACCCCATCCATGTACCAAGTATAATGGTGTCTCTTTTCTGGTCATATCATGAGAGTTGTTGATCGCAAAGACTAGTCGCTCGGCGATCTCATCCCAGTCTTGCTGTAGGGGGTCTTCCACATAGACTTTGACAGACTGCATCACGGTCTTGACCGACCGCTCTTGCTGTCCATTCGCTTGTGGGCGATAGCTCAGCGTCGACCTTGACGTTGCTTGTATTACGCTTGGAAGACCTCGCTCATGAAGCGCGGGTCGCGGTCGTGACGAATAAGAGACGGAGCCCCAAATCGTCTATAGATGCATTCTTCGAACACCTTGGTCACAGTCAGTGCATCGGTGTCGACATCGCTTTAGCGAGATCGAACCCGGTAACCGAGCAGTGCCATAACAACAGAGCAGTGTTTCCACGACGAGATCTCGGCAGAGGGATTACAAAGTCCATCGACACCACTTGGAATGGTCGTTCTGCGAGCACATTGCCAGGTGAGATCCGTTAAGCTACGGCAAGCTCTTGCTTGAGCTGCAGTCGAGGCATGACTTCATATGTTTCTCCACATCTGCATAGACACCGATCCAGTAGTAGTAGTGTTTTACTTTCTGGTAGGGGCGGACGACACCTTGGTGTCCTCCTTCAATGGAGTCATGGCAGTTATGTAGCACATCTTGGATCATTGTGGTTGGCACCACGAGTATCAACGACATCTCGGACAAGTTTTCATCGACCTTTCTTCTGCTCACATCCGTGTAATACAGGACATTGTCACTTGATAACAAAAAATTGTCGGCCCACTTCCAGGCTTCCCGATCTTCCTTGTAAGTCATCACGGTGGTTTCACCTCTCAGGACAGCATTCAGATACGACCATCTCAGCTCCTCATCCTGGGATTGGGCGATACGACGCCTTCGCTCTTCTTGGACTGCAACCGGGTCAATATCATCTGCTGTTGGGTCGTACCGAACCTCAGCACTTAGTCATTGCACCTGCATTGCCGAGTTCTCCGTGGCTGCCTCAGTTGCCTCTGAAGTAGGCGTTCCATCAGGAACTTCGTCCTCGAAGTGCACCCTTTTCTGCTTGGTCTTGATCTGCCTTCGTGTTGAAGTTGAGACTTCGGCGCGTTCTTGGTGCGCAAAATCAGCAAAGGTCTTGCGTTGTAGCAGGATGTCGCTGTCCATAGCTCAAATATGGCGTATCTTTTCGTCTAGAATTTGAACGAAATTCTCGGAACCCGTGCTTTCGACATTGGTGTCGTCTGAAGACGGCTCGTAGATCATTTCTTGGATTATATTTAACTCCTTGAGCTCGGTCTTGCGGTGGTCGTTGAGAACCACCTTAGCCACCTTAGATTCCAATGCTTCACCAGCGAACGAGTCCGCTGCATTATATTCGCGTATCACATGCAGATATCGGACTGACTTGAGCTTCGCAACGAGTTCTCGGTGGCGGTTCAGGAGTGTCATCAGCGAATCCTTCCGACCTGAAGTCACCTCTAGTGATTGCTGGATTGCCAACCTCGAGTCCCCAACGATGACTAAGTCTTCAGTACCATGACCCAGGGCTGCTATCAGCCCATGGTTCATGCCACTGTACTCAGCCATATTCACCGTAGTTTGCCCAAGGTAGGCACTCGCAGCGATAACTATCTGCCACTCAGGATGCTTCCACACTATCCATGAGCAGCTACTGTAGCCACCATTCTTCTCTGTCTTAGTGGAACCATCAAATGAGACCACAAAACCTTCATTGTCGTGCGGTAGTTGCGCGTACAGCAAACTTGGGTCCAACCGAGTAGCCGGTGAACCTTTGATGGGTGGTGCTACAAGCGCCAGCGAATCGTCCAGGTCAACGAAGTTGGTGATCATTGACTGGAGTAGTTGAGTAGATGCACAATCTTTCTCTCGAACTCGCTGCACCTCCAATTGCCACGGTGACAACAGCATCGCAAACTGCACTGCTCGTCCTAAAAGCGACTTAGATTTGTTAATCCATCCAAGTGTAGAGAACCGGGTAGTGTCTTTCCCACCAGCTGGGTGTAACAAACCTTGAGCAGCAGCAACAAAGCTAGTACTTCCTTTTCTGCCGAGTGATAGTTCATGTTAGCATCTTTGAGGACCCGTCCGCAGAAGCGAACAGGATGTAGTTTGTCGTCATGCATCTGGATCAAGGTTGCACTTAACGCCCATTCATTGACGTACAGCATGATGTACACATCTTTCTTCACATCGAAATGTCGTAGGATAGGAGCTTCAGCCACTTTTCGTTGGAACACGGTAAAAATCTCTTTGGCTGCAGCCAAGACACCCTGTTCGGAGAAATCGTCTTCCTTCAACTGATATAGTGCGACTCCATAGATTGCGAAGTCTTAGATAAAGCGGCTGTAATAGTTGAGTGAGCCGAGGAATTGTTGCATTCCTTTCTTCGACTTGGGGAACGGCAACTTGGTAATGGCCGTCGTCATCATCTTTGGATCAGTCCGAATTCCTTCTGGCGACACCTCATGAGAGAGGACGTCGACCTTGGACTGACAAAATATGCTTTTTGTTAAAGCTTACGCTGATCATGCATTCTCCTAACCACGCCAGCAACTTGTCCAATGAATCCAAACATTCGTCAAATGTAGTACCACCAAAGCAAACGCTGTCTACAAAGGACCGACGCTGGAATGCTGGGACTATCGACGAGTCATCAGGTTCATTAGTCGCGAACATTCTGCATATCGATCGTTCACCATCCGTAACACCGGATCCAGTTTCAACGACGCCTGTCGACCCGCATCGAACTTGGTTCGAGTCGTCGTCAGGGCAAAATCTGAGTCATCGTCGGGTAATCGTCGGCGTTTAGCTGCTTCTTCAGCGAGTTTCATTCATTCAGCATATCGCTCCCATCCACCTTTAGGCTGTACAAAGCCCCACAGCGCGTTATCTATCATTCTTTGGTAGATCATTGGAGCATTCTTCAATTCGAATGGCAATCGGAGTCCAAAGTGCCCCAAAGCGTAAGCTCGCTCGTTGGTTAATTGGTGCGTGTCCTTGGACATCGATGTCACATACCACCCCATATGCAGGGGGTGGTAACGGATTACCACTTGAAATCATGATCGCCTCGTGCTTTTAAGTACATCGTCGAGTCTTCGTTGCTGATCGCCGACAAAACTCGAGCTCTTCATATTCGAAGCGGTATAATCAACCTCCGTGACAGAGGGCTCTGTCAAGTCAGGCAAAAATGCCAATTCTTGAGCATAGTCCTCCAACGAAATGTAGTCTGCCTTGTGTACCGCATAGACGTCGTCAGCTGAATCGTCATTGCCCTCATTGGACAGTACACATGAACGTGTGCTCCAGATCGGCGACAGCACGTCAGGCGATTTCTCGTCGTTGTGGGTCGGTGGATTATTGCCGCCACGACTAATGTCAAAGCACTCAGTCGGAGTAGGAGCTGAGGCTACAAATGCGAATGCAGAGCTAACCGGATCATTGTCCACTGGCGAGCCGTCGGTCGCACTTTCGACGCTCCGAGCCACAGTCTCCATACCCCACTGTTCGTCCTGTGATAGTGAGTCGTCACCATCGCTTGAGTGCTCGTCGGGCTTCTGCAATATGCTGGTTGATCATGCTTAGGATAGCTGTTCGACTGCAGGCGGCTGTGATGCCAGCCATCATTCATACAACTCACACTCCAGCTTGAGCCAAGTTTCGTCGTGTGAGCTAGCATAAGCTAATACCTGCCATTGCTCGTACTTCCGATAGTCGATCGGTTCGTAACCAGTTTGTTTTGGCATAAAGCCCCGGGGTACCAAGCAATCACATTAAGTTGTGCCGGACAGTACACCACCCTGTCAGTGATATTCGTCAATCGCACTTGAGTTGGCTGCACTTTCCGGAACCGAATGATCGTCGGGAAAATCGCAGCAGTGCGCCGCACCCAGACGTCGTGAGTTCCCAATGATGGTTTCTTCTTCTGCAGCTGGAACTCAATCCATCCACCCGTTGGTATCTCCAGGATCTCCGTCGGTCCACCGGTGACGTGCATTCTTTCAGCTGAATCTTCGTCAGTGCTTAGCGATTTCACCAGCGGCACCATCTCTTCTCCTGTAAGCTTTGCTGTCGTGTTGAACAGACCCAAGCGTATTCCAGCTGGTATCATCAAGTCGATACCGACCACCACTTCTGATCCAGCACTATGGTCCATGACCCAGAACTCAAATTCATAGACCGTGTTCCAGCCTAGAGTAACCTTGACCATCACTCGGGTTGTTGTTGACATATTTCCTTCTTAACCCCCCCCCGCCCTTACGGCCTTTTCGACCCCCTCGATATAC